AGAGAGAGAGAGAGAGAGAGAGAGAGAGAGAGAGAGAGAGAGAGAGAGAGAGAGAGAGAGAGAGAGAGAGAGAGAGAGAGAGAGAGAGAGAGAGAGAGAGAGAGAGAGAGAGAGAGAGAGAGAGAGAGAGAGGCCAGGTGTGTGCATGGTTGTATGTCGGTCTGAGAGACCAGAATATTTTGCATGCAATATTAAAGGCTCACTGACAACCCCTTTAAATATAATCACAAACTTTTCCATTAGACTGACGTCACATCAAGAAGCAGTTGAACACACTAAAATATGAATGACTTTATACTCCATATTGTTCAAAAGTTATGAATCTGCTGCCACAACAGCTTGAAGGGGTCTATTCAGTTGTCTGAGAGGACTGCTTAATATTTCTGAATGATATTTCAGCTACAGACGCCCTGAGAGGAAAGTGAGGAGAAAATACAAATGCTGGTGATTCATTTTCTAGTTCTGATCTAAATAGTTTTCTCAAAAAAAAAAGTTTTGCAGGATGATCTTTCTACCTTTCTTTTCATCTGTGGAACAGATGAAAAAAAAGTTTTGGCATGTGAATATTTTTTTAGGGTTATTTTTAAGTGCTTGTTGTTGTAATACTCATCTTGGCCACAAGAGGCTGAAGTGCGACATCACACCATGTTCTAGATAACATTCATGATTTCTTCCAGTTTAGTTTTAATTTCTCCATATACTCACATCATTTGTGTGTTAGCAAGTTGTATAAATTCAAATTCACCTGAATACAACATGAATAATTTTGTCCTATTTAGGAGTAGTGCTGCACTTCAGCCCCTTGTGGCGGAAACGAGTATTACAACAATAAACGCTTAATCCTGACCACAACAAAAGACCTGCCAAAAAAATAGTTTTTCACCAGTGAAAAAAATAAAACTTAGAAAGATTATCCTGCCAAACACCTTCTTCACCTGTTAAGTCGTAAACAAATGAGAGAAAAAAATTAAGAATCACCAACTTAGATCACACACTGAACACAACTAAAAGCTAGCGAAATAATTTCATTCTTCTTTTGGGGCCCAAAGTATTTCAAATGTAATGAATACATTTGGTGTCTGAAAACGTTTCAACAGTAGTGTATGTTCATCTGTCATTGTCTTCCTGACCTTCTATAGGTTCCATATCTAGACTGTTGATTGATGGAGTTGTGCTGGAGTGGTGCACTTGGCTTAATGTGACAGATGTAATTATGATGTGATGAAGTGGGATTGAAAGTTGGATGACACAGACTGAAGGGAGGTGAGCGTGTCACAGCAGGATTCCATTCCTTTCAAAGTTTTAAATGAAGTGTATTTATATATGATCTTACAAAGAACTGTGCCCCGTCTGTATATGTGTTATAGCACATAGTATTGTCATCATTTAATATTTATTGTTTTTCAATGTACATCATTTTTATGTATTTGGGGAATGTTAAAGGCGCTAAGTGTGGGCTACTTTTAGACATTGCTGTACGCAAATGTGACTGGCTTGAACTACATTTCCCATCAGCCCTGTTTCTTCCTCTCGCAAAGAGGATGTTGACACTGGTCATTATCAAATCTAAAAACAGCTGACCCCTGTGACCTTGTCGAGGTGTGAAGCTGCTGCTTGTCGGAGGAACACAGTGAAGTATACTTGTGAAGTATAAAACCACTCTTTGCTGTCAAGTGAACTCTGGAGTGCTCCATTTTCTGGTGTGAATGCTATTCGGACTAATCGCATACCATTTGTGGTATGTGTTTTATCTTCCTGTTTTGATGACTCGTAGCCTATTAGTGCTTTTGCTACCGCTGAATTTGATTATGGTTCCTACACACACACATGGTACACAAATAGATGGTAAATGGCATTTATATCGGGTCTTTCTAGTCTTTCGACCACTCAAAGCTCTGTATTACATGTCAACATTCAATCATTCACACACACACACACACACATAGATAGCATTTTATCCCATCTAGTGGCAAGGTGGCAGGTTGCAACCAACTAAACTTCCGTGAGCCAAGCATGTTGGAGATCTAAGGTGGCCGACGAGAAAACATGAGAACGTGAAGGGCCAAAACAAGTGTTTGGTTTGTCCATTCTGGGCTACTGTAGGAACATGGTGGTCAGCCCTGAGAAGAGGACCCTGAATTGTTTCCCTACAGATACACGTCTCATTGTAAGGTAACTTAAAGCAAACGATTCTTATCTTCAGGTGATTATACAGTCAAAAAAACATATTTATTACTATTATATTCCAATTCTAACAATACATCCCCCTAAATGCCAAACACTGTTCCTTTTAAAGTCAACAGTACAGTCATTTGTAGAGCTAAATCGGGACTAAATTGTTTCTGTGCTAACTTGTCACCTATAGCCCAACCCAGGGCTAAGAATGTTCTGGGTGAAAGTGTTGTTTGTGTGATGTGTGGCCATGACACTGAATCTTAAGAGGCCGCAGAGGTTTCATTTCCTGTTATAGCGCTTGTAAATACCGGATGACCTGGAATGGTCCACTGGGCGGTGAGACACAGAGTCAAACAGACAGAAAGACAGAGACGGACAGATGGACAGTAGGGTCACGAGTTCCTCGTGTGTCCGTGTAAATTACATTTTCCCTTAAGTGACTGAATAAAGTCCCTCCCCTCTCTCTCTCTCTCTCTCTCTCTCTCTCTCTCTCTCTCTCTCTCTC